GGGATCTCCGCTGCCCTGGGGGTGGCGAGCGCGATGGAGGATATCGAGCAAGTCCCGATCGACCCGTGGTTTCTCCACGCCGCCGGACGCCACCTCGCGCGGCCCCCCCCTGAGAGCCCCAGCCTCACCCTCCAGGCTGCCTGCGAAGCGGTTTGCCAGTTTGGTTGTCTGGAAGCCGCTGCGGCGCCGACGGGGTTTTGGACGGGGCGGGAGATGGAGGGGAAGGAAGCCGCCGCGTTCCTCCGCGCCGCCTTCGTCCGGAGGCGGGGAGGGGTTTACGCGGTGGATGGGCCCTACGGGAATCTCTTCGACAACATCCGAAGCGTGCTTTGGCGGTTTAAGCACCAGCGCCGATGTGTCCTCGTGGCGATCAAGGCTTCCATAAATTGGTTCGACATCTCTAATGGTGTGATCGCGAACGAGCGCGCTGCGCCGCGGGGTGGCTTCTACACGACAGTAAAGGTCATTGGACAGAGTGTATTGAATAATGAAGTACATTTGATTTTACAAGGCCACTTCGGCCCACGTGTTGGTCATCGAGGGTTCTTTTATATCACCAAGAATCTCTTCAACCGTTATACTACTGGGAACGCTTATATCTTCTTAGATCTAAACAGTTTTTTAAATCCCAGAGGGGGGTCTATTCAGTCGTTCTCTTCGGTGGAATTTGCTAGAAAGGTCGTGTCTCCATGTGTACGGGAGCTTTTTGACCAGCTAAGCACCGAAATCACTCAACTGAATAAAGGATTTTCTAGCCTTGTAAATTTTTCCCTTCAGCGTTGTGCTCCAAACTTGACTGACATACAGCTGTGTTCCATGTTGTCTGTATTACAGCGTATTCCGCCAAGTTTATTTTTCATGCGAGAATCGGAGAATCGGACGGGTGTAGTTTTCTCAGATTCACATCATGGTATCGCAAAATTTGTAGCCACGTTTCTTTCTCATATCCACCCTGTTGTGTCGATCTCCGAATTAATCTTCCTGCTCAGCGAGGTGATTGGGGTGGAAGTATGCCGTTGGTTGTGTTTTACTTTGAAGACTTTCAGTCAGCAGTCGATTTCCTGTCCTATCCACTGGGATATGAAGGAAAGGCAGCCGTCACCATTACTGAGCGCGCCTCCCGAAGATGAATCTGTGGGGTCTTCACACGAAAACTGGGTTTCCATCTCACGTTTCGCATTCGACACACCTGGGCCCGAAGAACCGGGCTCCCACTCCCCGACGCTGAACAATCTCACGTTGGAGTATCACAGCCTGGATAGGGCGGATGCGGCCGCGACCGCACTCAATCAGGTTCCAGACCCTATACCGGACACAAAGCCGCACTTACACATCGCCCCAGAAGATCAAACCCGAAGGCTTGAGGAAGCGGCGAGTGAAGAGCTCTGCTTTGACCATTTGGGAAAGCACTGGAATGCGGTGCATCTTTGCAATGACGATGGCACACTATCCTCACTGATCATTTGCTTTTTGGGCAATGCAGCTTGTCTGTATGACCTTGCCGCATCGAGAGTGGTCCAGCCACTGACAAAAATCAATCCCTATTCGACATTTCTGGTCGAGTTCCCCTTCACACGTGGCGTTGATTGCGCCTTTAACCACCCGCTTCGGTCCAGTGAAGTATTTCTGTTTTCGTCGGGGATGTTTGCAATTTGGGATGCTGTTAAGCGGAAGTGTCTGCTGGGCCCGCGCATCTACTCCAAATGTCAACAGCTTGCCCATTTACCTGAAATCTTCAGAGGTGTAGAGGGCAACGGCATATTTGCTGCGTTGCCCTTTCCCGGCACCCCCTTGGTGGTCTTTTTCAGTCGATCACAGGAGTACGTTGTTTATGACTTGGAAAAGGAGGAAGTCCGTTTTTCGGGTGCTATTTCGCGTACACGCAAAGAAGTACCCTCAACAGTCAAAGAAAAGGAGTGGAACTCCCTCGATATGGGGGACCAGCACGTTTCCCCTTTAGACATACACAATTCCTCCGACAAGTTATCAGAAGTAGATAACCATGAGCCTCTCGCTATTCCCTTTTTTAGTGAGGAAATAATGCATCGCTTCATCACCGGCGGAATTCCCATGGCCGTATTGCAGGCTGAGAACGATGTGGCCACGCACCGCACGGGCACTTCTGATGCACACGCACACAAAGTGGGGACCTCTACCATTCTATTACTTCCCATGGCCAGTGGAGAAGTGCTCAACATGAAGGTGGACCCCTGTGCTGTTGAAAAGATTCAATGGCTTTCACTTTTATCGGTAATCCCTATGCGAGATTCGAAACTCGCTCGACTACCAGTTTCCTTTCGTCAAGTCGCCATAGAGGTGCTTCCGCAAATGTGTTCCGTAGTGGTCGATCACGAGGTACGCACGAATCCTCACTTCGCCTCTTTGGTGCTCTATCAGCCTAGTAGTCCTGAAACGAACATCAATATTGAACCCAACTCGCATTGTTCGCTCCCTGCTGATACCAATTCACCATTCGATCAAACAACGCTCCTTTGCAAAAACACGGGCGTGGTCGTGACGGCCCATCAATGGGCATCGACATCGCACACCGAGGAGATCACTTTTCCAAACTCTTTCCTGAGCTTTAGCTCATCGATCGCATCAGAAGAAATGGGCATAAATATCACTGGTAATAAAGAAGAGGTTTGCCACTACTATTATCCCAATCAAAATGCAGAGGTGGCAGTTGATAAGGATGGGACATCGTCAAGTTTTAAATCGTGGGTATTGTTTGATTTCGGAGTCGACCAGGCTGAGTCTTTTGGGGCTGTCATCATAGTCACGAACATGTTCTTCGACTCGATATCGAACTTTCCAGACCTTCCCTTTGTGATTGGAAGCGATGTCCGGCTGTTTATCGAGTCCAGTGAAGATGGGACCTCCTTTCAGCGGGTTGCATTAAATTTCACCGTCCGTGGGTATTTGGTCTTCGCTTCGTGGCAGGAGGTGAGCGCCGCGCAATATTGGCGAATCGTGTTGGAAGCTCCTGTCAATTCTCCCACCTTAGCTCCGCTGAGCGATTTTGGGATTGTTCGGGTGCTTTGGTATCGTGCGGTATGGCAACCCACGCTGTGCGAGCTCGGCGTTCTGGAGGCTTTTATTCCCTTCCCTGATGAGGATTCACAGGAAGTGTGTATTGTCGCCCCATGCGTTGAGGGCAAGCCAGAAAGCTTCTTAAGCTGCAACGCCTCAAGTGCAGTATTTATGGCGCCAACCTCTTATGGATGGTGGGAACGGCGCTCCGTGTTGCCGCTTCCGCGTGAGGATGACCCTGGGGTCGCGTCGTCGGCTCTTTTTTTTGCGGAAGCTCCTTTTCTGAGATGGACCTAGACCACTACGAGGTCGTGGGAAATCGCTCCGTTTCACTACGCCGGCATCCAGCCTTCCATACGATGCCTTATCCATTTCATTTGGGGCTTGATGGGATCTTTTACACAAACTTACAAAAATACACCACAGAAATAGTAACCTTGCTGCGCGATGGTTTTTGTCTGCACTGGAATTTAAAAGAAGGTCGCACAGAAGGGCCGGTGGTGCGGACGCAGGAAGCGGAAGAATTCCATGGTATTCCTATCGACATGGAAAAGGATCTTGTTCATATTGTAAACACATGGCGTGTTCCACAGGAAGTCCTTGTGATCTACAAGAACAAATCCTCTGCTAAATCGCTGGGCACCCTGTGCTGGGATATGGAACGCCATGTCATGACGGTGGGGCCCATGCCCCTTGACAAAAATCCCCACCTACACTGCCAGGAGCTAGGCGATAAACCCATTTCGTGCATCTTTTCCACCCCCCAAAGCCCCACCAACTTTGTTATCTTTGCTGAGGATCTTGTAGCCCACCATCCCCTCCCCTACACCTCGCTATCGACCGTCGGGTGGGTGGTGAGTGCGATTCCCTCAAGTCGGGCCTTCCATCGTCTTCAATATGCCCTTCCAGTCTGGGGCCTGCGGCGGCGCGATGCGGTGGTGATGGTGGATCTCCGCAGTCACCCACTCCTGATCCTGGGCATCGAGTTGGAGTGTCGACATATCGATGAAAATCGGTTTTGGGTCGTCGAGTACAGCGACGATGCGATTTATTGGTGTATCGCAAGCCATCATCATCAGAATTCGATCTCGGTTCGGACGACTTGGTCGTTCACCTCCGTGAGAGGGATTTCCCATCGTTTTTGGCGCCTGTCCACGTTATGTGAGCCCTCTAGTCCGGACCACGATGCGTCCTCCGCCTCCACGCAAAAGGAAGACCAAAAGGCGACTTTTTACTCCGGTCTTCGTTTTTTAGTGGTCCCCCACACGACCTGCCAGGTGTTGCCCACTCGATTGAGTACGAGCGGACAACTTTTAAACCAACCCAGAGAGCTTTTCACCGTGAACCCGGGACGTGGCTGCCTCGCTTTCAGGTCTCAGTCAGGCGTTGGGGTGGAGAACACGACGAAAGCGCGGTACATTTTGATCGACTACGGTTCGAACACACCCATATTATTTACTGGGTTTTCTGTTGTGCGAAAATTTGAGAACCAGGAACGGAATGGGGACTCCATTCCGAATTCTTTTCTCAGTCAGACACTGGTAGTTGTGGAGGTTTTAAGCAGTGATGACGCCATTACATGGAGGAGCCTTGGCTCCTTTTCCAGTCCTTTCAAATGCCTAAAAGCGTTTTGGGACACCACCGAGGGACTAAGCCCGTCACGTTTTTGGAAACTGGAATTTAAAGTTGCCTCAGTTTTAGTTATTGAGCGACTTGAGTTTTATGTTACTCGTTGTCCCTTGCTTAAACTGCATTCTTTAGAGCATAACTCGACAGTTTTTTGCACCTCTTTTCTCTGGGCTAGCTTTTGTTCACAGTCGTTGTACTCCAACGCGGACCTGATTGCTATTGAGGACAAAAAAGGCCCCCGTTTGAGCACCACGATTGGCAATTCTATTGCTCTCGATATGACTTCTCTTTCTGTGCTTGAAGGTGTCATTTGCGGCGTTGAATTACGATGTGCACTAACCACTGCTGTGCAAGTGGGCTTTGCTGTTGAGTGCAGTCAGGACGAGGTCAATTGGGTTCGGGTTTCTTACCTTAAATGTGGTTCTCGCCAGTTCGTCGGCACCGCGTGCTGGCCGGCGATTGGGCACTACCAATTCTGGCGCCTACGAATCATTTCCTCCACGCACTCATCAGGCTTTATCCTTCCAGAGCGGGTGAAGTGGCTGACCTCGAAGTTTATTCTCTACAAGGCGAGCCTCTCCGAGGAGCCCAAAATGCTCGACACCCCCAACGAGATGCCGGAAGCGGTTCTGCAGGTGCGGCTCCCTCGCCCCGAGTCGATGGTAGGGGTCAAGGTGAACAACCTTTCCCCTGGAAGCGCGTACATTGTGGAGCGGCTTGATTTGGATGGCATCTCTTGGCGAGAGGTGAGCCGCATTACGAGCCAGGACTCCCTTATCTCGCCCAACGTTCTGAAGCACTGGAGTTCGGGCCCACCCAGTTCGTCCTGGCGCCTACGTCCGAGCAACCGTGGGGAGGAGGTGAAGGTCTCCAGCCCCACCGTCATCGACAACGCCGCGCGCGATTTGTCCGTCTCGCTACTGCACCAGGAGGGGACCGGGCTCTCTGCGCAATGGCTGGGATTGGCCAAGGAGGAGCTCGTCGGGGTGGAGGTCAACGCCATTGATGAGGCAGGCCTCACCGGCGATCGATTCGAGGCCTTCGCGCCGCTGTCCAAACTGTGTGCGCGCCCCGTCGACGCGGTGCCGACCCGCGACGTCGTTGCGCGCAGCCTGCCCCCCGGCGAGGACGAGCCCGCCCCGGTGCGGCAGGACCCAACGATCACCTGGAGCTTTCCATCCCCGATCCAGTTCGACGGGGTGGGCGTCTACGCGGGCCTGACGACGCCTGACATGGCCATCCTCGCGTGGCCGAAGCGCGAG